TATCACAGTGCAATTGCTTCAGATTTAAAGAAGTAGGTGATTTAATGATGACCTACAGAAGCTGCTGGATCACAACGACCAGGGTTGGAAATTCCTGTTGTAAAGCAATGCGAAGCAGATGAGAAAGAGAAACCCCTGCAGTACATCAAGAAGCTACTGTATAAGAAGGTAAAGAGAGTGTTAAAAGCATTATGATATCTGATCTGATCACACTCCTTTTCTTTGCTTCAGATAAGTTCGATTGCACTGGAAATGTGAGAGTGTGTTTTCCAGTAGAGCACATAACACACTGACAAAATGTGTAAGTGGAATCAGTGTTTGTAATGAGAACATAAAAATGCTGTGATACGTACCTCCATAGTAGTTGACAGGGCCAGTTACAAGTCAGGTAGCAAGCGTTCTCCAAGGAGAACAGAGTTCAACACAGATGGAGTCTGTGCTTTTCCATTCAATGCCTGCCTCTAGGCCCTCCCACAACCTGGGCACCCAGATCCAGGTTTTTACAATTTATTTCCTTTGTGGACTAAACTGTGTGGCTTAAGTCAAGTTAACCATTTTGGGATCAATAACTAACTGGGGCTGAGAAAGCTCAAGGGTAGTAGCACCTTATAGCACGTGTCTTTCTGACAAGGCTATATACACCAGGCAGTCTGTACATGTGGTTAGCTTTCATCCATTTTCCATAGGCACTGATTATCCTTTGGTCCCTAATGCTTCTGTCATGTTCTCTGCTGTGCTTTGTGAATGGCCTTGGAATTGATTTCTCTCTATTCTTCACTTTGCCTGTTATCAGCATTCTTTTGCCTATTTATCAACTTACTCTTTTCCCCCTTTCAGCCAGCATTTTTAATCAAATCAAATGCAAGATCTAAAATAAACATTGCACAGCCACATGGGGAAAGCAGCTTCCAACTCACAACTCACCAACAGCATGGCATGCAGTGCTTTGTTGTTGCGATAAGCCTTGCAAGGATAAAAGAGTGACTTCTTCAGAAGCAAATATTGCAAATCCCATCTGTTCACCAGCCTCTTTTACTGAAAGAAGGGGTTGCCAGAACAAGAAATAGTTTGCAATTGGATTTTGTCAGTATTTATTGATGTATTTAATGACAGAACCAACACTAATTTATTTTGGTGCAATGTGAAGTCTGAAGATTAATTACAAATGCATACTAAAGGATTTATTTATTAGAATGTTACATAATGAAGCCTGAAGGCAGATTTCCAATTCTGAACAGTCATAAAAAGCATTTCCTTAAACTTACATTCTTAACACCTCTTTGGCTCTTGCTCAGGCAGGTTTGGAAGTTGAATGTAATCCAGAGATTACTGTGATTACTATGGGTTTATAAATTACATGAATATACTTCTATCATATTGCCAAGTATGACTTCAATGTGATTTGCCGCACTTTCTAATGAAACAAATAAGTAGTCTAATCTTTCATGACCTTTGCATCCCCTAAACATATTCTGCCAGTTTGCCACAAATTGCTTGCAAGTTTGCAGTGACACCTTGAAAACCAATGCACAGAAAAAATGCAGTTGCTGGAGGAAGATCAATCCCTTGAATGTTTTCATAAAACCAATTCAAGTGCTACATACTGATGTGTTACAGATTTCGCACATGTTTTGTAGAGAAATGGTTCCAAACTTTGGTCCCAGAGGGACATCCTTGGATTGGTTATCATTCTAGCTGATTACTAAATCACAGTGCTAACTGATAATTTAATTGATCTACTTGCTTGTTTAGACTTTTCTTTCACTTGTTTCTTCAGTCAGTCCAGAGTGTCAAAAATACTCTGCTTAAAGGACACTGTTTCCAACAATGTCAGCACACAGAAGGTTATGCAGCCTCTCCTCAGCTTTCTTGCTACTATTTTTAACTTCTGTATACAGCTGTTGCCACCTGATCAGTTAATGATGAACAAATTCAGATTAGAACAACACTGTGCCAAAAACACCCACACTGAGCATTTTTATTTTTGGTCCAGCTGGTTACATTTCAAGCAACACACCTGAATGAAAGCAGCTTTGAAGCTCAGAAATGGGTAAAGGTTTGATACCAATTACACATCCCATTTGACCTTCTAAGAGCTGAAAGCCAGTTTACAAACGTGCCCCAAACAGGAAACTGAAATCAATTAGCCCGTGATTAAGAACACAGCTGGAGCAAAACCCTGAGCATTCTTTCCTCTGGGACCAGGGTTGGGAACCACTGCTGTAGGGCATGGATGCTCGGTGAAAAGGAATCAAGACTGTGAAGCTTGCACAGGACCTGCGATGTGCCGTGCTTCACGTCATTCTTTTAAACCTGTATAGTACGTTACATGAAATCTGAAGTTTCCTGGAATGATCTTTTAGAATCCTTGCATTAACAACAGTGTGATAGATGGATGCTGAAATATTTTTTTTTTTTTAGAATTCTCTTCAGTGGTCTTTGTATAGGGTGAAAAGTAAACGTACCCAGAAAGTTTGCCCTGCATGGCTATGGTTGAATTCCTATCAGGCCAGTGTTGCTTTCATCACTCACCCAACTGTGAAACTAGATGAGAGGTTGAAGGCTGTTGTGTATGTACTGTATGGGCGACAAACCTGAGCCAGTTTTCAAGGAAATGCTGTTTCTCTTCAGGATGACAGCTGTTCTCCCTGCTCCCCCCTCTCTTGTCTTGCCCTCCTATTCAATGTAAAAGAGCTCTTGTTTAAGCAGTGGGATCGAACTGTCACCGGGACACTACCCAGACATACACTACTCATGCATTCACTCGTGTGCTTTGGGAGGAGGACCATGGGGGTGAAAGAGCCTCTGAAAAAGAGAAATCTAAGATATTTTTCTTCCACTTAATTTGTTTAATTACCAGTGGCTGCAGTGAGAAATTATGTAGCTTTTGGAGCGTGAGAAGACAGCTTGCGTGCAATTTGCTTAACAAGACTCCTGTATGTACATTTTTCCTCAGCCCTCCCCAGTATGTTGGTGTACATCCAGTTGGAATGTGTGCTCTAATTCTGGAGCACCAGCCCTTTGACGCCACATCCAAGGAAGTACCTCGGTCTGAGTCGAATTTGCTTTGTACGGCTGGGATCTGTCACTGTGGCTAACTTAATTGGACTTCTTATTAATCATCTTCTGATTTTTTTTTCTTGTTTATTTGCAATCTATGGCTGACATTTAAAATACATTAGTGGCCAAAACCTCTGTGCTGAAGTAATGTTTATACCTATTGCCAAAACCCTGGCATTGAAAATGGGATAAAATTGCAGTGGCATTCCTAAACATTTTATAGCAGAGTCGCAGACATTCCACATCATAAAAGAAATGGAGACCCCATATAATTCTGGAGCCCAGTTAGAGACAATTCTCCCATTCCTAGTCAGAAATGTTCTGTATCTGACCACTGAGCCATTATCATGGACTATGAAACTGAAATAGTTGCATTCTGTTTTGTTATTCTCTGAAACACAATAATTATTTTACTGCTACTAGAGCTACTTCTGCAAATTGAATTATTTGGAACACATTTTAGGGTAGTTTAAAATGATCCTGTCTGTAGATTTCATTTCTGTCTGTTCTGGCCTTCCAGAGCCCAGTTCCCAGTTCCAAAGTTTACAAAAAGAATTGGGTCCACAGTCTGTAATTTAGTTATGGGGTAATGTACTGTAACTACCAATAACCATAAGCTTTGTGCAAGACCAAAGTGCCATTGGTGCCAAACCAAGTGCCAAACTCTTGAACTCTTGAGTATGACTTTAGTGAGGGAAATCAAAGTCACTTCTTTCTGGTGAAGGATAGATTTGTCACTTTATTGTTCTTTCCCAGAACTGGTGCCACAGATTTACTATACAAAGGGTGTGGAGCACTACAGCTACAGTATATTGCAGAATTCACATCTGATGTGGGTGGGATCAGATTCCTTAATCATATCACCTTTCAGTTCTAGGATTCAGCTGCTCCACGAAGCTTCTGTAAAGAGAATACCTCTGCTGTCACACCTTATCTGGAACCAGTAAAGGAACTAACCAGTTTTACACTTTCTTGCCTCTGGAAATAGAGTCAATTTCCACTTGGTATGATGTCCCCTCAAATATCTTTTACTATCTCTAGAACTTTAAACAGTAGAAGCCAGGTTTTAGTTCTTAAATTAAAGCCAAATATATTTTGCTTGGAGGAAAGAAAGAGCATGTGTAAATGAAAGAAAATGTGGTAGTTTTCAGACATGGGGACCTTTAAAAGAGTGAACTTTATTATTAACAACTAAAAGTGGAGTGAGTTTTTTAACATTGACATCAGACTACCATCTACACTGCATGATCATCATCATCAAAGGAATGATGAAGACGTAAAGATATAAAAGAGTCTGCTCACTTCATTACAAAAGAAATTCCAAGTCTCTTGGCCCAAACAACCCAAAGGACTGAGTAGAGTGCTTGTAGGTCCAAAACTCCAAAACCTTACTTCACACTACAGTATGTTACTCTTATAGCTGTGAACAGGTGGTTCTGCTGAGATGAAAAATTTGTCCATGTTTGATTGATTCTGCTTTCGAGAGGCAACTTTGGATTTTATCGTTCAGACATACTGTATGAACGTGTTTGTCCTGTGTGTTTGTCAAAACGAACTTCAAAGTTCTAGCTATCTCACTCAATGATAGAAACAGAAAAGGGTTGTAGAAGGGTGAATGGAGTTAACGTTTTCCTGAGCTGCCCCTCAAGTATGAGTAACCTAAACTGAAATTGTTAGTGTAATGGCTGGTCATTCACAATCTATAGTTGAAAGCATATATACTGTATATTATAGCAATGAAAGTGCACATTTTATTTAGAGAGAAAACATTCCTATCCAGAAATATACTGTAAGACATCTTGATGCTGAAATGTCCTAATGTCTAACGGTTTGACCTCAAAAGTAACTCAGACAGAATAAACACATAACACACAAGCAGTAAAGCAAGGAATCCCTTTGGTCGATGGTCATCTCTGTCTTTGTCTCACTCTCTTCCTTAGCTCTGAAAATGAAGATCAAAGAGGTGAAGAAGGAGAAGGGTGACCGGAAGCTGATTGCAGCACAGAAGAAGAAGAAGGTGCTGAAGATGGGAGTCCTGCGCAAGAAGGACCTAAAAAAGTTGGTCCTTTACATCAAGAATGGGGCAAACTGCCCCTGCACCCAGCTGGACAACCTGGGCACCAACTTCCTCATCATGGGACGCAAGGTGGACCAGCAGCTGCTGCTCATGTCCATCCACAAGTGGGAGAAGAAGAGCAAGGAACTCAAATTTGCTGTCAAATACATGAAATCCCATCAGTGTCCCACCTACCACACGGTCTTTCAGTGACCTATGACCCCACACCCTAAAGCACCCCAAAGAGCCCCAGACTTCAAAGGAAAGCACATTTTGATACTTTTTTTTCAGTGTTTCTGTCTGAATATTAATAAGAGTAATAATAAGTACAATATTAACTGATCATTTCAGCTCAAAGCAGTACAAGTCAGTATCTCTCTCACATGGAAATGGGCTTCTGCATTCTCCACACTGTAGTCATTCTGTTACGCCAGGTCTTTCCAGCAGTAATAATAACGGTTATTAATATAATATGCTAATAAAAACATTGCAATTAATAACAAAATAGGCAAGATCTTGGAGAATTTTGCAACGTTGGATATTTTTTATATTTTATGTCTTGATTTTATTTAAAGCACAAAGAGTGCAAGAGTAAGAGTGAAGTAGCACTATGAGAACGGGGAGGTAGAGAGCTTTTTCTGAAAGAACGGGAAAGAGACGGGGGAGAAGCAGGGAATTAAAAGGAAAAATACAAAGGGAACATGAAGGCAAGGAATGGGGAGGGGTGCAGTTTTTGGTGTGGAAAGAAGCTAAAATGATTTAAAATACTGGTTCCTAAGTGTGGGGCAGGGACTGGCAGGTTCTCAGTACAGCAAAATAACGGTCACCATGGAGATCTCCAATCCAGGACTGGTGCTGAAGGACCAACTAGCTATTGTAGATAATAAAAAATTAAATCTATCCTGTAAAAAAGTAGAGTGCTATTACGAAAATGAGGTGAATCGTGGAACAAGGGTATTTAAGGCCGTTTTCAGAGGAAAGAGAAATGGAGCGAGCTGCCACTGACTGTTCTAAAAAGCAGCCCTCACTGACAGCCAAGAGCGAGACTTTGTGCAGCAAACAGGAGGACCGCTCTGCTTCGTCAGAAAGGAGGCAGCTGGGAAATTGGCCACTGGCTTGGAATCTAAAAAACTCTGGATCTTACCAATATCAATGGTTTGTGAGATCTCTGTTCAACATTATTATTAAACTTTGTATTATTATTCCTATTTGCTTAAATAGCATCTACAATATAAAACCTCTACAGGCATACTGTAGCACATACATCAACTGTTGCTATAATAAATGGTAAAAAAATAACTTTAAATTGTTTTAAAAAATCAGTACATGTGTAAGTAGCTGTTATCCTGAAAAAGGAGTTACCATCCCTGTTTTCTACAAAAAATAATAAAATATACTTGAAATTTTTATATAGAACAACAACAATCTGTGCTCTTATTGTATGTCAATCAAATACATTAATAGCTTAAGTGGTCTAAAAATGATCCTGTTTGATCTTCAACAGATTTAGCAAAATATGTTTTCTAAGATTTCACCACACAATTTATTACTTGTGTTATTACTGTTATTACAGTTTATGGAGTGTAAACAGAAGTTATGGAGGAGGTCAAATTTCTAATTCTGCCCACTTCCATTCTCTTACACACAAATACCTCGCCTCCTGAGTTTGCTCTTTCCAGGGACAGCCTTCACCTTCCAGATCTCTGTCTCCATCTCTGTCCCTTCTTCCTCCATTGTTCCTGCTAGTTCCAACTTCATTGCTTGGCTGCCACCCCATCATCTCCTCCCAGTTGCTGGCATTATACTACGGCTGGACCTGGTGGTTCAATTACTGTTCACCTCCTTCAGGCTGAGGTGGGGAGACGCCTCCCTGCTCTGCCTCAGATGAGCAGCTCTTTGATCTCACCCTCCATAGCCGGTCCCCTGCAGTCGCTGCTCTTCTGTTTCTGCTCCTTCTGATGTCCTCTCCCCTCCGTGGCATCTCGGGAACAGTTGTGCACCCATGGGTGCTTTTCGTCCCGTCCCCCCCTTCCCCTTCCCCCTCTGTTTGCTCTTTCCTTTCTGTCCTCTCCCCTTTTTGTCCCATTTAAGTCTCATCCAACCCACCACAGCCTGGGCCCCAGGTCATCTCTGGTGTTGCTCTCTTCCCCTCCCTAGTGTTCCCCATTGGCCCCTGCACCACTGCTGACACACTCTCTGACCCGTGGGTGCAAGCGCACATCCTCAGACTGCGCTGGGACTGACCTCGCCATCCCAAGTGCCCACTTCCTGGTCACAGTCCAGAATTCCACCATTAGCCCTATGCGTTTATTTATTATCATTATTATTATTATTATTATTATTATTATTATTATTATTACTTTCTGCTTTTTTCTTAGTCTCCCATTCCCATACTAACAAGCCTCAGCAAGGGCTTACTCCATCTGGACTGGTATAGTAACTTCCACAGCCCATTACCAATAAAACCCTAGATTGGTGCTCCCAGGAAGTGTACTGCACCACAAGCGCTATGGGGTTCCCTTGATCTCTTTTGTGGATCTTGTCAACCTTGTCCTAACAGTTAGGCTGCCATTTCCTCACCCACTTGAGTTTTGCCAAGTTTTAATGTGCTTTCCTTATAAATCGAGCTGGCTTGTCGCATTTATTTGAATTGGACTGAACTGCTGAAATGGAGTTTGTAAATAGGAGTCTAGGAGGAGGACAAATATCTAATCTCATCCGCATCTGCTACCTTATGCATAAATATCTTGCTTCCAGAACACCCTTTTGTAAAAACTGCAAGCTCTGCAGTACCTTACAGAATAGTTAATGCTGACTGTAAAGTAGGAGCAGCATGTGTTCCAGATGCCACTGCAACCTCTCAGCCACTCAGCAGTTCCTCTGAAAGCCAAAGTGATCATGGCTGGCTGAAGTTCACCCAACCCTACCAGGGCTCACTTAATTGCACACTTCTTTCATTCACAGCCAGATCATGACATGGTCCAGACTCAAGCTAGCGACGTCTGGATCCTGCTGATCAATCTGCACTCACAGCAGACACTTACAGTATATTCTTCTTAATTCATTTTGACAGTCAGTTATATTCCTATTGTTTTCCACTAGTATTTTCTTTATAAAACTTTAGCTAGAACCACACTGCAGGGTGATGTGATCAATTATAATGATTGATTATTTATCTTTATTGATGATCTTGGGCAATCTGATATTGTGGTGAAAATACATATAAAAGCACCTTGTTCAAACACCCCCCCAAAAAACAACAACTCATGAGCATGCCCTCAATACAGAATCAAAAAGTGACCTTCCCTTCAGCATCTATCGTTTGTGTGGGGGCGTCTAGCCACTCATTACATTTTCATTCTTCAGCTATATAAAAAGAAGACTGCAGTTCTACTGGAATCACACTCTCTCTGATTGGAGACAGAGCTGGCGGGTGACAAGGATCAGACCTGAGAGAACACCCCCAAGGACAGAGGAAGCCCCCTCTCTCAGAATTTAATGAGACTGTAGGCCAACTGGCAACTGACATCACACTTCCAATCAGAGCGGCAGCCTCATCTTTAAATGAGGTTTAAAGTCACAGCTGGCATGCAGCGAAGTCTCTGCTCACACCTCTATACAGTACATACAGTTATCCTTTTTCATATTCCTTCCTGATTACATTTCTGCATAGTCGAATATCTCAGATTTTATAGCAGCAGACATGCACAGGCAAATCCCACACTAGGGGCATCCTGTCCTGGTTCTGGATGGCCAGGTCTTTTTTAGATTTTTGGGCTCTCTTTAAAGCATTAGCACTTGAGGAGCTGGCAGTTGTCTGGCTAAACCAGTAAGGAGGTGATTGGGGTACTTTAACACAGTCTGAATGCAAATTTACTGACACACCAGCTCTCCAGAACCAAGTTTAGGCATATCTGGTATACACCCTATCATTATTAATTTACCCGATACTGTGCAATATATACAGTACAAAAGAGTCCAATAAATGACTTGGCTCAGTGTTTACTAGGCAAGCAAGATTTCCTAGACCTCATTCTTTAACAATGTTGTGCCTCCCTCTTTCTCCTTCTTAGATTGCAATAATCTGAAACTCCGTGCCACAATCTGTTACCCAATAGCAAATGAGCTATGAATACAGTATCATGCCATGTTCCTTATATTTCACTTTTTAAATACTGCTGAGCTGGATGAATACAATAAAATGGGATTCAGCCCAAGCCATCTTAATCTCAGTGCTCTCAATATAGAAAGCGGGCTCAACACCACTGCTGTATTTGTGGTTGGAAGACGTAAAATAATTTTATATTACATTTTAACGATTTTAAGATCCACTGCTCAGGCATCTCATTGGGAGCTCAACCATAAATACCCTTTAAACAAAAGCATATCAAGATTAATTGTAAATTAAATATGTCAGACTCTGAGATTCCTGTTTTCGCATTAACTAAGGAAAAGCCTGGTACCTTACAAATTGCTCCACTGTTCCCCAGAAAGCACTACTGTTCCCTTTTGCCCCCCATCACACCCTCAATGATGGAAACAGGGTCTTAAGAAACTCAATGAGAATAGCTCATTCCAAAAAAGGAGAATAAATGTAACCGATCAATGTGTTTTCTATTTGAAAATAACCCTGTAAGCGTCATTCATACTGTATATAAAGCCATCTTAAAATCTTGAAAGTTTTATTTCATCTAAATAATTTAAATTTTTCAGTCATGCATAATGCCTGAGAGCCATTAAAATAGTTTGCAAATTATGTCAGAGTAAAGTAACGTTTGAAAGGTGCTGTGATCCTTTGAAGGAAACGAAAAAGTTATTCACAATTCAAGCAACATTAAATTTAGAGACCACGATTTCTGTAGTGTTTCAGGACTGAGTGGTATTCTGTGAGACAATATAAACCTTTTCATAACCTATTTATGAATAAAGGAGTGGTATAAGAATTAACATTCTGTGTTTATTTTGAAGCAGCCTTCCAGCTCATTTACATGGATGCCAATATACAGTATATTTGGTTTAAGTCAACAATTTCTGACAATTTTGACAAAGTCATTTCACATCAAAGGAGAGAACATGCATATTATTACACATTCCTGAAGTGAAAACTCTCTTCGTGAAGGTGAAATCTAGTTGCTCCTTATTGAAGGGCACCAAGATCAGTCTTTAGATCAATTGAAGACATAATCAGGTTGATGTACACATCTCTCACCTGCTGTTATCCAATGAACAATGGCTGGAGACAGCTTACAACATACGGGTACAGTACACTAGCAATAAAGGCAGGATAAACTCTGAGACCTGTTAGAAAAGACAACCAACCACATTTTGTGAGGCCAAAGCAAGAAAAGCCTTTAACAGGTGTTGGTATTTTTAATTTTAAAGTCCTTATCTTTGAAATACTTTTGCTTTGCTTCCAATAATCAGGATTTTTCATGATTGTCCACATTTCTGAAAAGGGTGCAAAAGTATTTTTTCTTTGCAGAGGAGAGTTAGAATGGCACAGAAAGTATTGTATGTTCACCTCTAGTTAAGGACACCTCAGGATTAAAGATAAAAGGATTCATTGTCATTAGAAGCTTTCCCATTGAAAGTGTCCTTTTAGACAACTGGTTAATGCCCGTCAATTAACCAAAGAGGGGTTATCCTAAATATCTGTGAAACACCTGCAAATACATAAACACATTGAGACCAGATGTAGCCCCTGAAAATGGCACATTATTAACCAATGGTTGGCAAACACTTACCCTGGTCCTGAGCCATTTCTGAGTTACCAGTACATAGTAGCATACAGCATATCGATCACTATATCTCCACCCTTCACTAACGAGCATGGTGACAGCTCTGTTCATGCCTTACCTACACTGGTATATTATATAAAGCACGTTAGGTTTTAACATACACACAGAGAAAGGCTGCTCTTCTGGGAACTGTCAGAATTCAATACGGGGGGGATTGGCAACAAGGGGTGGAGGGAGGGGGTCTTGAATGGGTGTTGGCAAGCACAGCTAGGCTTTAAGTATAACGTAATCTTGTGCAATGATGACTGCAGGACATTATAGTCTGATAGCCTTGTTATTTTTGTTCAATACAGTTTCTAAAAGTATGACGTGGTGGCCAAGAACCACCTGCCCCTAGAGGGTTCCCTATTACTGATCAGTTAGGAGTAAAACGAGTGAAATTAGGAAATTACTATTAAAACTGCTTGATTTTGACTTATATATTAAAGTGTTAAAAGTGGAGAAGGAGAAAAAAACCTTTTGCACTGATGAGCAAAGCCAGTGGAGCACAAAGTTAACAAATAATAAAGAATAGGTAGGTTGGGAAGATAACTGTTTAATACTGTACATGCTGTGATCTGCACAGCTTTATAGCTTCAAGCTCACAGCATCCGGTCATCAGTGAGGCTCTAACCATCAGTGCAG